ACACTCCAATCCTGCCCCTTCTCTCTTTCGCTCTCATTTTATCACGATATCTTCCCCTATTCACAAATACAATCTGTTCCCCTAAACTGAAACGCGGCGCCGGCGCGTGAGATGCATTATCTCTCTCTTCGTCATTAAATATATTCTTATCTTTATAACTATTTATATATATTTATATAGGTAATAAACTATATATATATTAAATATGTATATATCCGTTATATTCATCGCACTCGAATCGCCGAAACGATACTCATGCTTCAGGTAACGTCGGCTGTGGGCGCACCGTGAAGCGAGAACACACGGGCGCTTTTCAGTGGCACTTCTACTACCCCTTTAATGGTTTTATTTCCTTCCGTTTGCATGTTCGATCTTATTTTTTTTTTTCTTTTTACTTCTCTATCTCCGATTCTTGATCTCGCGTCAGTATCTACATGCATTAACTTACAAAAGCGGATATTTCGGAAAAATAGACACGAGTTATCACTGCGGCTCAGTTAGAAATCTACTGCGCTCGCATCATCGCTCACACGAGCATCCCGACGCCATTAATCTCGCCCAATAATTCTCCACTGCGCCTTGAAAGTAAGTAACACGTGCTCTCTAAACAAAGTGCACGAGGTTCATTTATGCACCGTGATAAAGACAAAGCGACTCTTCCTCTGGTCGGTCGTCTTTCCCCTCGCCCCTTCAGGCACGCGCTTTGCAATTGACTATAAACTTGCTGCTAAATTTATATCAAGAATGTTCCTACGTTGTCCGGATCGCCCGACTAAGGGAGACCTCAGAGTTGCTCTCGTTTTCTCTCCTTTTTCTGGATCACCATGACCCTCATTATCGATTCAGTCGTCACCCCCGAGACCACTTTTCTCTCAGCGGAGAAAATAGTCCGTGATTTCGCTATATCTTCGACATCGCACCTTCCCGATGTCTCCATGCGTCGCCAATTGTCGATTGACATCACGATACCGACGCAAAGACGTTATGCAACTACGTGTACATGGTCGGGTATGTGACCATGTTTTGAGGAAGGGAGGTAATGTAGTTTGGGGTGGGTGGTCGGGGGCTGTGCCACTGTGGTCAGAGAGCTCGCAATTTCTTTATACCCGCTTGAACGTAACGTACGAGCTCGCGTAACGAGCTGTATGATGTCAGGGGTCCCAATCTTCGGTCCAAGTCGATGAAAAAGTCTGAAAGCACGATGAAAAACGATCATTACACATCGAAATAGGATTCATCAGGCATGAGCTTTATTTCTCATACGTACTTCTGTTCTCTTCCTGCTTCGCTTGCTTTAATGCCTGATCCCACAGGTCGTGTCCGTTAGTAAGTAAACCTGAATACTGATTCTGCTTCAACATTGCGTTGTAGACATGCATCGGTACGCTGATATATTGGCCGTTGACGACACCCGTTGTCGGGTGTTGTCCACCGCTACTATATCCAGAAGAACTTTGACTACCGACAGAACCTACGGAACCGGCAGGCGACGGAGTAGGCGAAAGAGAAGGTGTACCCTGTCCCTCAGTCTGAGCGGGCGTTGTCTGAGCTGCTGCTGATTGTTGAGCTGCTTGCTGAAATAAAATTGCCGACTCAATTATCCGACTCACACGTAAATTTATATGTAATAAATTATAATAGATTTATATGTAATAAATTATAATAGAATAATGATTGTATATTTAAAATAATCAACGCATTGAATAAAGTAATAATTATATGATTGTGATCCAGGTAATAAGAAGACCTCACCTTTTGATTAAAATCGCTGATGATTTTTTGAACCTCTTTCACTTCCTGTTTTCGCATGTTGTAGAGCTTGGAATACAAACGTGACTGGCACCAAAGACTAAAAAGACAAATAATAATTTTAAGACACGTCCGCTTGTGCAATACAAAGAGAAAAAGTAGATACACTCACCTCAGGATGGCGAGTTTAGTGTGTATACTATTCTCGGGTGAATTGTTGGATTGGCTCTTGAATTTTGACGAGATGTATCTTGCGGAACAAAAGAAAAATCACATTAATTAGCGAACTTTCTCTTCACTGCATGCGAGCACGTATCTCAATTAAAAATATACTCACTTGATAAGACTGAGGGTATCTTTGTACATAGTATACGAGGCTTTTTCCGTAAGTGGGTCTGATTCCATCGCGTCGCCAGTTAGGAGGAAGTACAGAGCGGCCTCCAGATACATCATACCTTGTGCCGTAAGATCATTTTCCTCATCGGCATTGTGCTTTAGTCGTTTAGCTTCAGTCAGGTACTGATCGTGGTCCCTGAGACACAAATATAAGGGTACGCTGTTACGATAGCGTTAAAAAATTAGTTAAATCATCAGAGAAAATATGCATGAAACATATATAAAACATATATTGTACGTAAAAGCTTACCTATCCTGATCCTCCAATATTTCATTTTGAGGATCAAAGTAAGAATAGTAGACGCGCTGTGCTGGGAGAGGGGGTGGCGGTAATAAACTCGTATCTTGTTTCTCGTCCCTTTCGTGATTCGTCGGATGAATATCACTCTGCATATACAATAACATTAAACTTAAAATTGAATTAGCTAAGATATAAAATTATTTTATAAAACGATATAACTTACTTTTTCACCCTTAATGCTGATATCATACACTACTTAATGCTGATATCATACACTACTTAATGCTGATATCATACACTACCGCTATAATGTAAACTATAATGTATGTTTAATTCTCATAATTTTTAAATAAAAATATTCTTTGGAAATACAAAAAATAATTTATTAAAGAAATTTGCTTTTGTTTTGCTTTTGAAATTCACCTTAACTAATTAATTTTCATAATGTATGTTCATAAATAAATGCCAATTTGCTTTTAAGGCTTCCACGATTATTATTTTCAAAAAAGTTAATACTTTACGGGTATTATTCGTGTTATTATACATTGTTGAATGCCAATGTTTCGTGAACATTGCAGTTCATCAGGGCGAGGAACAGGCTGCTCCTCACTCTGAGGATTGATGAAGTAAACTGCAATGTTCACGAAACATTATATACATTGTTGATATTCAACAATGTATATAATGATACGGATAATACTCGTAAAAATATTAACTCTTTAAATGCCAATTTTTCACAATAAAATAACTGTACCTATAGAATACTATACATACACAAAATTACATTTTCATTAAAAAATTTGGACAATAATTTATATGCATTTTTGTTGAAATCTGATATCACAAAAAAATATTATAATTGCAACAATTACTTTTGAAATTATTTATATAGTCTTTTTTTTTACTTTTTTACTCGTCAATACAAAATAGAGTTAAAAGATGCTTTGAAATACAATTATAATATTTTTCAATCGAGTTGCAAATTGAGGTCCAAGGTCTATACCTGACTGGACATCAGCCCGTCATTCGCGCCATGTCTCCGTTGTCTCTTGCGTTGACTTCTATCTTTATGTTCAGAAGAACTCTTGGTTTTCGCGTCCACTGAACACTGAACAGGACTCAAACTGGACACGGAACTACAACTCGGATTACGTTTTCTCTTGGGCGCGCTACCGCTACCGATCGCACCGGTACCACTAGCACTACCAGCACCTCCGAGAGCTGTACCGCCGCTCTTCGAGTCCGATGATATCGGCTGGCCCTTGATCACGGAACGTGAACTTCTGCCGACATCACCATCGCCCAGCAGTCCGTCCGAACCTCGCGGGTGGATCCTCGCGCGATCCGACACGATCTGTTGCGATGGCGGCGTGTCGACGATCTCACCTTCCTCCGGTGTGGAAAGTCTCGCCGGTTGCGAGGTCGCCAAACTGGAGGATGGCCTTTGCCTCGAAGACGGCCTGGTATCAGGTAATTCCGTGCGTTGTCTGAGCTCTTGCCCTCTTGATAATTGCAATATTTGCGAAGATATTCTGCCAAGATCGATCTTGCATAGGAGACTTGGCACACCATTGACATGAGTGAGTGCCGGAGGCGAGCGTAAAAGAATATTGTTACCACCACTCGACGTCCGCGAGGATGGTCTTTTGTAAGGACTGTCCCCGCCGGTCGGCGTGTGCGTAGCAGAATTACTAGTATACTCTTCCACGTAGATGCCGCATTTACCACCGCCTTTCCCACCTTTCCCACCTTTCCCACCACCCTTCCCGCCGCCTTTTGACGTCGAGAAGACGTGGCGCAGCGTGTCGCTTTTCTTTTTATCTTGCACGTTGCCGGCGTCGTCCTCTTGTAGCTTCGACGCCGGACTATTATCGCTATCGGAGTTATCAGGCGAGGTTGTCCTCGTTGGTGGTGCTCGAGGTCTGGGGGGTACCCTATTATTTATAATATTGTTGTTAAGTTTAGATGCTAATACAAATGGAAAAAGAAATGGAAAAAAAAAGAAAGAAAAAGAATATATAAATTAAATTTTAGACGTCACTGAATTTATTTTAAATCTAACGCGAAAAATCACATTATTATTATTTTGCGAAAATTATTGGTATCTTATTAGTAAAAAAAATTAAGATAAAAAAATAAAATCACACTCCAATTCAAATTCATTCAATTTATACTTTGTACATTTTATGAATATTTGCGAAAAAAAGAATCGATAATTAACACATTAAAATAATGATAAGAAATAATTACCGAGCAACTTTGATGCAATTGCTGGTCCTCACAGATACCTCCTCGGATTCGCTATCAGAGTCCGAGCCACCGGTAACGTTGGTCACTCTCCTCGACTGCCTGGGCTTACCCTTGGCAGAATTCTTTTTCTGATCTTGCTTCTTCGGCGAGTCCAACAGGTTGTTCCGTTTAATGGGAGGCACTCTTGTCCACCGCGCGGCATCGTCTTCGGAGGCACTGTTATTATTTTTCTTATTCGGTGGCGAACTTTCATCGTCGCTGGACGACAAACTCAGTCTCGGTCTCTTTTCGTTTCTTGTCGGCACCACAACCTTGGTAGGCCGACGATCGCTGTCAGAGTCACTCTGCGATCTCGAATCGCTGTCGTCGTCACTCGTAGTCACCGTTTCCTTCGATTTAGGTTGCTTGTTGCTTTTCTTGTTGGGAGTACCAACCGTTCTCGTCCGGCTGCATGGCCTGCGTGACTGCGTGGTGTGCTGCTTCTTCAGATTCTCGTCCGTCCGATGGCCACGTTTCGGGCTCTTGATAGATTTCCTGGGTCGCCCGCGTTTTCTGGTATCGGCTGCCTTCGGTTTCTCGCTTTGAGAGCGATTATCCTCGACCAGCTGACGAACTTTGTCCTGGTCGGAATGGTGATCGCTGTCGCTGAGAGAACTCATGTGAGTCCTCTTCAAGGCCTCATCGAGCTGCCAATCGCGAGACTGCTCCCTGTGCGATCTGCTAGTCTCCGTCGTTGTCTCAAGCGTGTTTTCTCGTCTGGCATTATCCTGCAGATAACACAATTCTCTTCTTTAAAAAGAATTCTTTCGTGCTTTTTAAATATTTCTATTTTATATAAAAAAAATCTAAATACATAGTTTCGACAATTTCTCATCCACTTCTCCAAATTCCTAGACAATCTCTGGACACACAAATTTCTAGATAATGGTATGAACGAGCTTAAAATTCGAGTACTCAGAGTGCTCGACTTTAATTAGTACAAAGAGCTTTACCTGAGCCGGCTTTGATTCGGAGTTTTGTTCTCCATGCGGCACCGCTGTTTTATTGAAGAAAGAGCTAAGATCCCAGCGACGCTCTTCCACGGCGGGCGGCGGTTCCTCGACCAGATTGTCCTGCTTCGGTGAAACCGAGGGTGGCGTCGTTGGCCCTTTGGACGGCGGTGGCGCCGACGTCGGGTCGTCCTCGTCCTCGGAGTCGTCGCTGCTATCCGAGCCGGAATCCGAGCCAGAATCCGAGCTCGAGCTAGCACTTCCGGAGCTCTGCGGCGCCTCGGCTGGACTCGACGATTGGCCCATGACCGGATTCATAGGGGAGCACGTGGTTTGCAAGGGATGATCGACAACAGGTGGAGGAGACAGCACTCGCTCCGGAGTCGTCCGCTTCGGCGGAGGCGACGAGTATCTAGGCGGGCTGACAGATATCGTCCGTGGGGGTGACAGCGGACATGACCCCACGGGTGACATGACTATGGGCGACATGGCTGTCAAAGGCGGCGGCGCTGACGTCAACGGCGTCGATAAACTGTAAGGACGCGAGATCAAGCGATGCTCAGAATTGGACATCGTGATTTGCGATAAAGGTATGGAAACACTGGAAAGCGAAATTTCTCATTGGCCAATTGTTTTAATCCAATTGAAGTAACAACACATGTTTAAACAAGAAAGACACGCAAACACTTAATAAAGAGAGAGATTTTTGAGAAATTTCTCTTCAGTTCTCCACATAAAATTAATTTCTTTTAAGGTGCGTGAAAAAAAAGCGAGTACTAGAATAGATAATATATTAAAATACTATACGTGTTGCACTTAACTATATTTTTGGAAACTTTTCGAGAGAAAAATTGAAAAATTTTGAAACTCTCTTTTTTAAGCCTCCATGTATGATAAAACAATTTCGATATTAATAAATACACCTTTTATGTCATTTATCCGGTAATTCTAGATAATTTCAACAAACAACATAGATTAGTAGGAGCACAAATCAGGTACTTACACGACCGTGAGATCCGGAGTCCTGTTTCCTCTCGTCGGTCTCGACGATGTTTCCTGGGAATAAGAAAAAGACCGCTATCAGCAATTTCGCCGTGAAATAAAGTGGAACGGAGTCCTTCTTGCCGTGATGAACGGCCACTTAGTTTTTCATCAAACGCGACTTGATCGTATCGATTTGCGAAAGTACTCTGCGGTATTGCAAAAAGCGGAAAAAACCAACTCGAAGGCGAAAGTGCAACTAATCCGTTCAGCTTGTACAACTCGAAATTATAATTCAGAAATTAAGCGCCCGCTGCCTTATTATGATATTATGTTATTGATATCCAATTTACAAATTGATCATCTTATAATTCACTTAATCTCATAATTAGCACGAAATATTTGCATTACGATAATATATAAAAAAAAAAAAAAAAATTAAGCCGTCTTACCTTATTCTCTTCATCCTCGCTGTCCGACAGACTTAGATCCCGGGCGAGATCGCTGCAACAAGAAAGAAAACGCCGTTCGGCATCATCTCGAGAATGAGGATCACTGAGTCGTGTGATTCACCGAAGTGCCTCGGCAAAGCGAACACTAAGAGGGATTTATATCTCGCTGTTTAACGCGATCCTTCTGAAATCGCTCGAGCGTCGCTCGTCAAACAAGGAAACCCGTTCGGCGCGACTACGAACGCGAGAGATTCTCAACGACGACGACGACGACGACGACGATGACGACGAGAACAACGACGGCGGCGGCGGCGGCAGTAGCAGAAAGCTAGGAGATAATTTGATATCAAGAGTGAAGCGCACTAGCGATTAGAATCCGAGACGGGGCGAGAGAAATGCGTGTGAAGAATACACGCGCGACTGCAACCTGTGGAGTATCGCGTATTAAGGAACAATCGTTCATTGATCCTCGGAGCGCGCGATTCTCGCGATCGCTTCGTCTCTCCCATCCATTAGGGATTTCTCGCGTTCTATAGCACGCCATCGTTCTCCGCTGAAAGAGCTCTAAAAGACTAGAGTCGGCTGGGTTTGCAGTTAGGACAGCAATTAGAAAAAACGAGAAAAAAATCAAGTAACTCAAAATCAGTACTCCCAAATCAGAAACAGAAAAACAGAAATTTATTTTTGTTATCTTCCAAGCGTAGGAGGATGCGCGTAAAAATATTATTTCAAGATTTCGTGCAAAGGTTTAAGGATATGTAAGGTCTGTTTATCAAGCTTTCGGAGGCAACCAAAGGCTTGAAAAATGATCGCGGAAAAGCGACGGGTATAACGCACGCTATTTCGTACCACGTGCGATCAATGTAGAACGCATTAAATTACACGTGAGATAATTTATTGCTTTTTGAGAGTGCTTAAATGCATTAAAAAGCTGGGATATTAATTCCAAGTCACGTCTTTCATTATCTCCTCTCTGTATCGCTCTCGCTTAATTTAATAAAGTGGATAATAACAGCGTACGGCTCTTGGACAAGGTCGTGCTTATACAGACAACAAAAAAAAATGAGATTCCTTTACAGCGGACCCAGCGATACACATTTGCATGCGCTCAGGTTCTCCAATATCTTCTCGACTCTTAAAGATTTATTTCTTCCATGAGAGAGACGAGTAAGGCGCGAAAAATAATAACACATTTTCGCGAACGTACTCGTCGTCGAGATTTCGCGTCGAGGGGCTCCGTATGGTAAAAGCAGATGGCCGAAGTAATTGCTTCCGAGTAAGCTCGGGCACCGTCGTGATTCCCAGAGATTACTCTTCGCTCTCTCGACGAAAACGCTTCGGACAAACTGTTATACGGCGATCGCAATTACCTGCTTCTATGTCATTAAGCAAATACGCCGTTTATCAGTCTGCCCTTGAAATTAGCCGCGTTTAATTTAATAAGAAGGATAATCGCGCGTGCCGCCTGGACTTGTAGCCCGAGAGAGGAGAGCGCGTCTCTCCTCCCTCCTTCCTTCCTCTTGCTTTCTTTTTCCTTTGTCCCCTCCTCCCCCTCCCTCGACCTTCCCTCGACGAGAGCGAATCGCACGGGGGCTCATTCGTTCTCTCGATCATCGTGAGGAGGCATGCGAGCCTCTAAGGACCGTCCAACAAGTATCCGGCCCGGGGGACAAGGCGGGCGAGGATAGAGGCGGCGGAAAGCCTCCGCGGTGTGGGGAGAAAGAGCGAAAGAAGGAGATAAGGAGAAAATACGTAGAGCACCGAACATCGACGGCGCACGGAGGAGGGCATCGACCCTAAATGCACTGTCCTACGTCCGCACTCTGTGCGAGCGGTGCCTTGTGGTTTCGCCACACCGCACCGACTCTGCGTGCACGAACGGCGCGGTTGTCGTCGTCGTCGTCGTCGTCGTCGTCGTCGTCTAAGCTCGGGCCTCGGCCTGGCACCTGACTACTCGCTGACAACCTCGTCTCGACCTCCCCCCCCCCCACCCGGAGGAAAACTAACTCGGTCGAGGCAACAACTTTGAGAACTACAAAAGCTCGCGGCATCAAAATCTTCCTGGGCTGATAGCGGCGAGGGGATATTCTATTGTACTTTGGGACCTAGTTCACCTAAGTAATTTACTGCTTGACTCACCCTCAGCGCCCTTTATCATTCTTTACATTTCTAATACGGTGAGAATTTGTCAAGGAAGATAACAAAGAGCACACGCGAAATGAATCGCAAAAAGTGCTACAAAAATTCCCAGTAACTTTTTTTTAGGTTGTGTTACTTAGAAAGATGTTACTTTTATATAACATTAATTCGAGGTGTCCATTCAATTTTTATAAAAAAAAAGTCCCTGAAAGTTTCTCAGATACTTTCCAGAATTTAAAATTACAAAATTTTTTTTATTCAATTTTGAAGTATATTTATTACGTGTGCCTTTTCATGCTTTCTAATCACAAAGAAAAGTTTAATATTTGAATATTAATATATTAGCTTCATTATTCTGGGACATAGGACTTTCTTTATAAAAATTCGAAAACATACATGTAATGATTGGTGAATTACAAGTTGTACTATAAAAACAAGATTATAAAAAATATTTTCTGAAAGGGACAAAAGTTTAAAAAATTTCTGATCTTTCTCGGAATAAAATTTTCTGATTTTCAACAGTTAAAAAAAAGTTCTCTAAGAATTTCAGATTTTCCAAATTTTTTTCAAGGAGTGGACATCCTGTGTTGTATTGTATTCCAAAAAAAAAAAGCGACCTAAATCTGTTTCTTTATTGCTCTCGTTTCTCTGCTTCCTGTTGCGACGAAGAAATTGTATTAAATTCGTAAAAGCACCATCATCGATCCCGCGTGTAACCGTGCAGACGTTGTTGTCCCGAGGAGTTAATAATAGCCACGGTTTGATTCGAATTACGCGAACGTCTAAGCTCTTTGCCGACTGCTAACCGGGTGGTAGAGCTCGCTGCTGCCGGCAAGAAACCTGCTAAATCGCCGCACGAAAGAGTTTAACGATCGCGTCTCGAACGGTACAAATTACTCGGCTTCGTGGGAACGTTCACAATTTTAGAACGCCGCGCGTTCGACGTTCGCGCATTGTTTATTAGCGCGCAAACCGCCCATTTTTCCACCGGAAGGGGAAACGACGACTAATGGCAAACGCGGGCGATTTATCATGACGCACGTTCGTCGGGAGATAACGAGAAGCGTGTATATTCGAAAAAAAATCCTACGAGAGATATCGTTCTATCAAAGCGGAATCTTGCAGCGGAGAACTCACTCTCCATCCGATCCTATCACAATTTAAACGTTTATATTCAGCAACGACGGAAGTACTCTCGCACTTTTTGCCTCTTCTTTCCGATCGAACCGGATGTGCCTGGCAACTTTTGCCGTTTTTATTTACACGCGGTCTCCACTGTCACTTTAAATGTAAAAGAGAATTCTAATATAAATCCAGGAACAGAATATGTTAGAATAAATTCCGGGGTAGCTTTTCAGTAGGATCCTCACATCCCCGTACTTGAAAGTTCACTTGTACCGTTTCCCGGGGGACCCTCTCTTCGCTTCCCGTCTGACGCTTAAGCGCGCGCGGTGAGAACGCGGTCCATTGTCAGGCTCCGACTGTGTTGTCGCGTTGATGCAACTCGCTATTCCCTTCGGTGGTCGGCGCGTCGTGGAAAAGGAAGGGAACCTGTTCGCGCGAGGCGTTCCTTTAACCTCACGTTCCGGCATGCAACGGAACCGCCGTGTCGTAAGCGCGCCGCACACACACACACACGCAAGTCGGGAATGCACCCACGCGAGAGCGTGCGCGTGTACTCGCGTGCGTGCGTGCGTGCGTGCGTGCGTGCGTGCGTGCATGAGTGCGGACGTACGTAACGAGGATGAACACGCACGCGTCCGGCGGCCGCGGTGGAAACAAGTGGAAAACGTTCTTCCGCGGCGGAAGAAGGGAGGCGAAGGAGGAACGGGCGGCGAGGGTCCGCCGTTTTATTAAAGGGAAAGGCGTGAATGAGAGTTCGTTTGATAAAAGCGAATCGACGAGGGGAGGAAAGTCGAGATTGCCGTTGTTACGTGATATCTCTCGATATGGATATGCCGACGGAAGAAAGGCATATGACACTTTCATTGCCGAGGAATTTACCCGCGATTCTACTATCTTGGCAGAAATTTAATTCTTTAACTGCGTAAAAGTTCCATTTATAGAATATATATATATATATATATATATATATCTTTTTCTTTCTCCTATTTCCCTTGACAAACAAAATAAAAATAAAACTAGCTCAATCATTTAGCTATGCTATGCAGCTTTATTATTTTCATTTATTAATTTCACGTTACTGATTTGAAAGCAATGACGTCATTAATTGATAGGAGTCTGATTATTTACGTTTTATTACGTTTATCGTAACTGAAATTTTGCCGCGCGCAGTTAAAAAGTTTTAATTAAAAGATTAATTATGTTAAACTTTCCGTTTTATGTGTGTGTGTGTGTGTGTGTGCGCGCGCGTGCGTGCGTGCGTGTATGCGTGCACGAGTGTGATGGATAGCTGCGTGTACGAATAACAGGACTCTATTATAGCCACGGGTAAACGGCGCAATGCGCAAAAAGGATAATAATCTTAATCGAGGGCAAGTTCACAGGAACCTCGTTTACGAGCTTCTGCCACGCGGCATCTATTCAAAGCGTTTGCGCGAAACAATCGGCCTCGGTATGCCTATTATCTATTATCTCATCTGCCGCTCGCTATCGCGCGTTCGTGTTCGTTCGCCAGCCGCGGCGGCACGTGCGCTTTTACCGTTCCATTGCGATTGACAGGCGACTTCCGAACCGCGATTTTTTACAGCGCGCGACACAATCGCGATCGCAATCGCGCGGTTAAACGAGAAGAAAATCAAACAACAATGCCATGCACTCGTCGCAATAATATAGTAGAAGGGGAAAAAAAGGAAAGGGTGAAAAAAAAAAAGCAAACGCGGTGACATTACGTGATAAAAACGGGCGCGTATCGAACCAGTGCGCGCGCGCTGAAGAGGCGTAATGTCAAAT